AAGATCCCATCTCGATCTTTCCCACATGAGCTGAAGCTAAGAAAAAGAGAGACTTTTTGCCAGATTTGCCTTCCTAGATAATCACAGAAGAGAAGGTAGATAGTTATGAAGTCTTAGCAATCTTCCTGACCCATATCCCAGCAATGACCCTTCTGGCTGATCCAACCAAAAGCTTTCTGACAACCAAAGCTTGTGGGAGCCAAAGAGACAGGAGCCTGTTGGTTTATGAAACAGGAATATTGCAAAGAATGAGTTGGAAGTACAACAGCAAAAGGCCTACCAGAGCATGGGTAGGTAGACTGGGGGCAGGCTTGGCTGGAATTGGTGGAATTCGGAGAGCTAGGAGGTTGTGACTGTGAAAAGAGGCTCAGAAAAGAGTAGTCAGATGATAGGTTGGAAAGATAAACCAAGGCTAAATGTACAGAGAACTTATAAGCATTTATGCAATTTGGTTTTTATCATCATGCCAATCAATATTTACAACATGTGACTAAGCAGGTATATAATTTAAAAAATTATGAAGGATGCGAAATTTCAGTTTATAAAACAATAAATTCAAGAAATCTTTTGTACATACTGTTACATATTTAATGAAATATAGCTTATACTTGAAAGTTGTTTGAATTAACTTTTAAGTATTCTCACCACAAAAAAATATGTTAGCTAACACATATTCTAATTAGATTTAGACATTTCCTGTAATGTATTGTGTGCATACAGAGTGACATATTTTGTACCATTCAGTCCTAAATGGGATGTCTTCATCAAACCCATGCTTTCAGGGATCAGGTAACTATGCAGAAGAGGAGTCAGAAAACATGTAAGAGCCGGAGGGCCTAGAAGACACCAAAGAAATAGTCTTCCACACAAAATAGGATTGCAGGACAAAGGAATTCACAGAGACTGTGGCAGCATACACAGGACCTGCACATGTTCAGGCTAGACAGTGTTTCAGGACTGAAATGGGGAAGTGGACTTGGGCTCCCATACCTATCCAAGAAGGTATCTCCAACTGACAACTGCTCGTAAAGGAAAAATTAATTTTTTCAATGGAATCTCACTGGGCATATATACCACACTCAAGAGTAGGCCCCATGTTCAGCAGCAGATGGCCAATACCAACTGAACTCATGGTATTTTCATACATTTGTGTCTCATATTGCTTTGTTTGTTGGTTTGTTTTTGTCTTACTGGCCTTTTGCTTGCATAGTATGGATTCTGATTTTGTATTTTTGTGAGTTTTGGCTTTGTGTATGTGGGTTTCTTATTTTTTTTTTTTTTGCTTTTTTTGGTTTATTGCTTTTTTATTTGCCTGTTTTCTAAAGAAAGAGAAAAAAGTAGATATGGAACTGTATGGGTGGGGAGGATTTGGGAGGAGATGGAAAAGGAGAAAGTATGATCAGAATATACTATATGAAAAAAATCTAATATTGTATGAAAATATCTATATTCAATAAAAAGAAACCTACATATGAAATGAGAAAAATAAAGTATTTATTATAAAAGTTGTAATGTTAAATACCACATTATTTAACATAAATGTGACCTTTATTTCTCAATTAAGAAGCTAAAATACAAAAAAAAAAATTGTTTTAGCTACATTGGGGAGAATAACCAGACAGGGAAAACCCAGAAGACAACAGAAGACTTCTGTATCCACCACAGTTCTTCTACAGCTTGCCGTTTACTTGACTTTACTTCTAGCCTTGAACATGGGCTTTGTGTTTATGTCTCTGAGTGTGGTTAGCTAAAAGATGAGCTTCTGTAAGCAGGAAGGTACTCTCATGGTGTAGACAGGGTGGGGTACTAACATAGGAAACACTAACTAGTTGCTAAAATTCTTCTGTGATGGTTGCTTGATCTTTCTTGGAAAATTTGATAATTACTACATGGGAATATTAGATATACTTTCTCATTCTTGAAATAAGAAGCTTTCAAAATAGATGAGTTGGCTCCAAATATCTGCCTCCTTGGAAAGTACAACCTCAGAGAGTCTATTCTCAAAAGTATTCAGCAAAGCACTTCCATCCTTCTTATTTGAACCTGTATTCTCCTAGTCCAATGAGGATTCTTTTATCTTACATGAGTAGGCCCTGCTGCTAGAGTCTAGATACATTTGCTTCTTGCAATAATCTTCTATGGGCAAATTTAGTAGTCCCTGAGACTAGATAACTAGGGCTATATCAATCTCACAGTGAAGCAGAATAACCATTTATGTTTCTATGTGTTAATAAACGCTTCTGTGTAGGATTCTGAGCTAGCTTTCCTTACTCTGTGACAAAATACATTAGAAGGAAAACATAAACACATGAGAAGGAAAAGATGCATCTGGCTCAAGATTTCAGTTCATTCTGCTGGGCAGAGTCTAGTAGTTCATACCAGGGCATCAGGGAGACAGAAAAACAAGATAAAGGCACTCAAATGTATCTACAGTTACCAATTTCCTCTAGTTAGGCCCTACTTCCTAAAATTTTCAGTATCTTCCACCAACTGAATATCTATGTTCTAGCATAATAACCTAGAGGGACATTTTATATTTAAACTCTAACTATGAACCTCTGTCTTCCAAAGACTTGTGCCATCTCACAGTGCCAAATGCATTTAATCTATCTCTGAGAATCACCAAAGCCCACAGGACAAGCACTTAATATAGCTCCATATGGAACATCCAGGGCATATGGCAGGATATGAGCTCCAAAGGTCTTGGGCTGCCTTTGGCCTTACCTTTTATAGTTCGAATGGCCTCTTTCTTGTGCTGGGTCTGCTGGCGTTTACAGCCTTTCTGAGAAGATAAGTATATTCCTGGTTTCTCTAATTTCCTTGGGTCTCTACTGTATTCAGTTTCTCCCTCACTGCTTCATATATCACCTTTAAGGGACTTTCCGACACATGCAAGATTATCATATGTTGCTTTTCCTCTCAGACATCCTTTTGAATATGGGTGGAAGCTGTCATGGTCCTATGATTCTTAAATTATACCCACAAAACTAGAAGTGTGTAGATAAGACCAACCTCTGCCCTAGCTTAATGAGGAGCTGGATCCTCATGATCTTTAGTCATATTGGCTTCTAAGTGCCTAGATGTCCAAGAATAGTTTAAAAAAAATTAATGAGATACCTTTTTAGGGGGCCTTGTGTGAGTGGGATACCCTAAAGGGAAAGTCTTTCAAAAGCACTTGAGTCTGCCATACATACATAGGGACTGGTTAATTACTAAGATGCCCTCAGTGATCTTTCCTATTGTCCTAGTAAAAATTATCTGGCTTATTTTTCATGGCACCAATTGATTTAGAATGCATAAATTTTAAGCCTCAACATTATACATGCTTTTAGACAGAACTGAACATTTCTCAAATTTACCCCTTCTGTATTTTGTTCACGATTCTCACCAGGCTAAAACCAGCCAGCAGCGGTCATGATGCAGACATAATGCTAGACTTTTTGTACTCTCCTTTGCTAGATGAATTAATTCATAATTTTCATATAAAATCACAAATGGCCTCTACTCCAGTTTCCAACTGAGCCCTTGTTTTTAATCTAAATTTTGTAAGAACAATTTTGTTATCTTTTAAAAAATCAACATTCAATTCTTAACTCACTAAAATCACCCATTAAGCTAAACTCAGAAAAGTTTAGCAGATCTTAAACCTGCATGTTCAAAATCTACTTTGTTTCTTTCTTAAACAATTTCCAAATGTGTAAGAAATGTGGTCACAGACTAATAGCAATGATTTCATTCTCTGATACCAGTTTTCTGTATTAGTCAATTGTCTTATTGTTATGACACACTATCATCTAAGTGAACAAAAATATTTATTTCAGCTCTTGGTTTTAGATGTTTCAGTCTAGACAGGGAAGGGATAATGAGTCGAAGCAACTCAAGTCATGGCAGTCAGGAAGCAGACAGAATTACAGGAAGATTCAGCCCAAGGACATGCCCACGGTGACCTAATTCTTGCCTATTAAAATTTCCATTGCCTCCCCCAAATTTGATACCAGGTAGGGGCCTAAGCTTTGATACATGAGTCCATGAAGGGAAAATATTTGCAATGAGATCAGTTCCCACTTATAAAACTCTGAGGACACACCCATGCACACATCCAGCTACTTTGAAAGACAAAATGCAGCAGAAAAGAAAATGATTTTATTTCTTTGCAGGCTCTGTGGGAAAATTGTTCTTCAATGAAGAACTTCTTTAAAATAAAATTAAAGTGAAGAGGGCTAGATGTTTCAAAGAAACAAGGATAAGAAGGGGTCAGAGGAAGGATGGAAATGACCTTAGACTTTTGTGGGGATGATGATCTTTCAAGGGTTCTGAAAGCACAAAAGGTTGGGGACATTTTTGATAACAAAAAGATGAAGGGATTTCTTAACTAGTTCCACTTTCTAGAAGCATTGGATTCAAGTAAAGTTTAACATCATCAGCACAAGGTCACATTGGCCTAGGTCATTTTACGTCAAAAGAAGAGGTGACTATTAGCATGATAAAATAGTCAAAGTTGAGAAGCAGATGGAACTAGTGATATTCAGGAGACTTTGTTACTGTGTGAGTGGGTAAAGGAACAGGTTGTGTTGGCTTTAGTAATGACTCTTACCTTCAGTGAAGTTCCTAACAGACCAAAGATCAGATGCAATTTGACTAGATTAAAGAATACCCTGAGAATAATAAAGCATCATTTCTGAGAGTATCTGAGAGAGTTTATAGATTAGATGGGGAAGATATATGGGTGAACATTGTGCATTAGGCAGGTGGCCAGAAAAGAAGGAAATAAGCAAAGAAAGCAGCTTTGTCTTTTCCTGGATTTGGCATAGTACTACTCTCACCCTTGGACAGCAGGACTCATGTCCAGAAGGTTCCCAGACTTTGAACTTTGGACTCAGCACTCTAACCAGTGTTACACTCATGGGTCTGCTGATTCTGAGGTGCCTGGACTTCCACATTGCTACCCTGCTGTGTTCCCTCTGTCACCTAAGGAAGTAAAAAGCAGGAAACATTTTAAAATGAAGCAAAGCTGAAGATTATTCAAAGGAAACTATCTTATTACAGTTTAAGAGAAAAACCCTAGTACAGGCAAGCTGTACATCTCATCAGCTGCCCAGAGGAAGAGAATGGAGGGGGAAAGGAGGAAAATGCCATGTCATTGAAGTCAAATTGTCGTGCAGGTCCGTCACACAGCTGACAGGTAGGCACATGGTAGGGGCGGGAGGTTTGGAAAAAGAATAAGGAAGTCCAGAGTATGAGTAAAAGCATCTTCAGATTCTGGTGAACATCAGAAATAAATAAATAAATAAATAAAAACAAATAGGGACTCAGAAAAATAGACAGACCCAGTTAAATGTGGTGGCTCACAGGGATAGTGGTTGAAGGCTGGGAATTGTGAAAAAGAAAAGTACAGTAGCTCATTAAAGGGAAAATTATTCCACCTATCTCTTCAGTGTGACTAAAGGTTATCCTGCCTTCCTAGGGGTGGCCCTGCTTTGCAGAGGGGTGGTCTCATTTTCCAGGTGATTTTCTGGTCCAATTAGATTAGCTCCATTTAGTTTTGGGTAGCTTGGCGTGTTAGATAACTACCCAGGCCAGAAATTTCATCCTCTGAATCAAAAGGAATTAACTTTTTCTTAATACTACTTGTAGAATATAATTTCCTGCTTGCAAGTGACCTATCACAATTTTTGAAAGCATGCAGTGAATTCTAATATATCCCTCCTCACCTACTTACCTATGCATTTTTCTGTCTCATCCATCTATTCATCCATCTGTCCAACTGTCTGTCCGTCCCATCTGTCCATCCATCCATCCATCCATCCATCCATCCATCCATCCATCCATCCATCCATCCTGTTAGTGCTAGGTTTATTTTTTTCTGATTAATGAACTTCCCTTTCCAATTTGATGACTTTAACTAATAAAAAAAAAAAACCAACCAAGCAACAATAACAAAAACCCCCAAAATATTAATTTAAAACAGATGCCTTGTTCAGATATCTCTAAATGATATTTCCCAAAGTTCTTTCCTTTTGCCTCAACTGGCCTAATTTTCAAGTGTTTCCATCCAGTGCACTTACTCTGTCCTAACCGGCAGCTATAGTCTACTTTTGAGTTAACGACAGAGAAAATTATCCCATTTTCTCTACACAAAAATGAAAACACAGTTGCTCCGTAAAGCACAGGCTCCTGCAGAACAAGACTGTTTGACAAGACTTGAAAACACAAACAGTTTAGCCTGAGGGCCTGACAGGGGAATTGCAGGTTCAGACCCATTAGCTAATTACAGTACATCAGATCAACTGTTACTTTAAAAAAAAAAAAAGTATTTCCTGTTGAATGAGATTCTTGAGAACATTAGCATCTAATTTTCTGAATGATACTGCGATGTACTGACATTTTCAGCTGCTTTTACAATAGGCGGTGTGTGCTGTGCCCTAAGAGCGACTCAGGGTGCAGAGAAAGGAAGTCTGCACTTGGGACAAAGAACTTCAGTTTTGGCAGTAGATGTAACTGGCCATCTTCAGAGCTTTACGTATGAGATTTCACCTTGAGGATTTCAGTTTGCCTGTGTCTGCTTTCAATTTTATAGACCTAAGAACTCAAGTTTTTCTGGCCCTGTCTCATTATTTTTATAAAGCCAAGTAAATGCACATTGGTAAATTTGTATTTGAAACCAAAACAGCATTATGCAGATACGTCGGTATAGGCTGTAATAGTGTGAGTATGTATGTCCATACATATTTCATCAAAAAACAGTTATGGAAAATACACAAGCATTTTGGAGCAAGGTTCCCAGGAGAAACTGGATATTGCTCATCTATTCTTTCACTCTGAATTGTGTGTTTTGACTAAGTGACATGACCCTCCCCATTGATGGGAGACTCTCCAAGCTTCCCTCTCTTGATTTCCTACAACTTGAGCCAATTTCTCCAGTTGGAGGATTCCAAACTTGGAATCTCTTGTCCCTTGTTCACTCTGTATTTACTTGGCTATAGCTGGTCTCCTGCTGGGGGCTCAATTCAGTTTTTCTTAAACCCAACTCATACTTTTCTAAAGCAGGTCTTGCCATATATTCCATTGTATGTTGCCTGTAGACTTGTGTTTTCTCAAAACCCTGCTAGGTCCTTTCATATAGCAGTGGGTTCTGTAAGGTGTCTGCCACATACAATGCCCACTACTTTCATTTTAATCTTTGCTGTATTAGTTTGAATACTTATTACAATTGGGGCTTGTGGCAAAGGTCTATTGTCCTAGCTACTCAGAAGGTTGAGACATGAAAATCAGGCATTCAAAAACTAACTGCACTACAGAATGAGCTCCAAGCCAACCTGGGTAACTAGTAAGGCATTGTCTCACAAAGGGAGTGTGAGAAAAAGGAATGTGGTTGTAATTCAGGGATATAGTACTTTCCTAGAAAGCACAAGGTCCCGAGTTCCATCCCCATCCTCCCCCAAAAGTCTTCACTAGGGCTTTTGTTAGCAAAATCACCAACAGTATGACGGTTTGTTTTAGGGCTCACCTTAGCAGGCAATAATACTTACTTCTTAGATGCAATACTAATCCAGGCATTGCTGGAGAAGTTTTTGGTAAATCTAATTAACACAATCCAAAGCTGGCTTTCAGAAAACTGTCTTTGATAATGTAGATGAGACTCATATACTTATCACCTATTTACCATACCACTAACAGTGCTAAGTCTTTAAGGGTTAACCATAAGGCTTCAAGGAAGAAAAGATTTAACACGAGACTGTAGTTTGAGCTCCCATCTAGAGGTTGAGCCTGCCACATCACTCTTGAGATTTCAGTCTTGCTATACCCCACAACTGTAAAATACAATAATCTCATGTATATGTGTGCACTTGTATGCACATGTATTCATGCATGTCTATGTGATTAGGTATACTTTATAATATTCAAGTCTTTCTCTGAAGAACTCAGTGCTCTTGTTTATGATTGACTTCATACTATATCTCTGACCCTACTATCACCCTCTTCCTTCAAGTTTTTTTGGGATCATTCCTCACATATCATATAGTGCTTTCTATATGCTTTTATTTCAGTGATTATTCATAGCTAGAAAGTTCCTTTTCCCCATAATTTTCTTTGGGACAGTTGACTGAGGTTTCTAAATCCAAGGACAGGAATAGAGTCCTACATTCCTGATTTTCTTTTCCCCTCCTCCCCCTCCTCCTCCTCCTCCTCCTCCTCCTCTTCCT